AAAAAATCAGATCTAAGGTTAACCTACAGTCTAATGTGTGGGTGGAGGGGGGGTTCCCCCAAAGCTTGGCAACTTGACAACGTGGACTTCAATTCCCAGAATTCCCCAGTCACCATTCTGGGACTTGAAGTCCACGTCCTAAAGTTGCAAGTTTGAGAAACACTGTTGAACAGGTAACACTGTTAGACACTGAGGTACATGTTTGTAAGCTGCAATCCCAAAATCCAGTTTGGCTGCATTTGCAAAGGACAGCAAAGGACAAACTAGTCCAACCTGATTTATCCAGGCATATTATGGAAAACCATCCCCAAAAGGGTTTAATAAGAAAGCAAAAGATAAACCATGAGAGCATGTGGGTGGGCATAAATAGCCTCTTGTAAGAGTCCTCTTCATGTTTTTCAGATGTGGGATGTAGCAGAGGGCAGTTTTTGTTCTTAAGGCTATTTTTTGTCTGAGCCCAAAGATTTCCTTACTACAGTGTAGATCTGACATGGCAGCTTTGCATTTACATGCTCAGGCATCCATGGAAAGGCATTCACATCCTGAAGCCATAACCATGAACAAACCATGACAATTGCACTCATCCATCACACTAGGTTGGTATCAAGTCTGTCTGTTTGCTGCCTTTGATATACGGTAGTTTTTGACTTCTGGTGACTTCCTGGACTATCCGTGTAGTTTCTTGGCAAAGGGTTGTTGTTGTTGTTGTTGTTTTTGCTATTGCCTCCTTCTTCCTAGGCCTAGTTAGACCCTAACTCTAACTGACCCAATGTCACTCAGCTGGCTTCGTGGCTAAAACAGAACTAGAACTCCCAGTTTCCTGTCTCTATCCTGATGCCTTAACCACTACACCAAACAGGGTCGCTAAGTTTGGTGGCTTAATTAGAAATCATGGATTAAAAAGTCACTTGGGAGCCTCATTCCCAAGTTGTACACCTGTTGACAGAGCTTTTGCTCTTCAAAAAAAAAAAAAAAAAAGAGAGAGAGCTTTTTTCAAAACACAGCTCATCCCACCTGCCAGTGAAATAGCTTTCACTTGGAAAGCTCTTTCCAAGTGAAAAGATGGAAAGACAGCTCAGCCGGCCTTTTTTTTCTCCTTTTACAGGAAATGGATGAAGTCTAGGCTGAAATAATTTCTCAGGCTGTTTTTTAAATTGCTGCTGTAGAGGAAACATATCCTGTTAACAACAGGAAACCAATAGCTTTTGCTAAGTAACCGGGTTCTCCAGCGTAACTGAGGACCAATATAGGGAGGCGGGAAAAATGCAGACTGGGAGCCTGCTTGAGGATGCAAGAGAGCTATTAAACGGCCTGCAAACTCCATGCAACTGCAGCCAGACTGATATTGAATAGGGCACATGAGCTCTGTGAGACCCAGACTGAAGAAAAGGACTATGTGCATGCAAATGCAATGTGTGGGAGACATTAAATATTGCTATTTTAATAATGGAGACTCACAGAAGGGACTATAGTTCTTCAACATAGGGAATGTATTCAGGAAGAGGGTAGGCGTGTTGCTTTCTCCCCTTGTGAATTTTATTCCTTTGAAGAGCATTCTTTCGTGCATCTTCTCTAGTTGTTCCTCTTTTTTTAATGGCAAAGATGTCACCTCCATACAGCACCGGATCCATAGTTTTGGTTGTATGTATGGGAACGGTAAGAGTTATGGGCCTAGTGTTCCCTTACATTATGGCCTCTGCTAAGAGTCCTGAGACTGATTAGTTAAGTCCATGATTCTGGGCATTTTGATCTCTGTGTTGGGTATGTTGTGTAGTAGTGCTGCCATGGATTCTGGATCTATGGACATAAAGAGTGGTCCCACAAGAGAAGCTAAGAACGTTATTCAAACGAGCGCAAATGCTGGCAGGGGAATTCTGGGAGTTAAAAATCCACCCCATCTTAAAGTTGCCAAGTTTGAAAAAAAACAAACTGATGTAACCCTTTTGCAAGTCTGTGGAAGAATGCCAGCTCTATGGAGCCACGATTCTACCATTTGCACTCTTAACTTCATAGCAGTCAAAATTTTGCCACAGATTGGGAGGGCCTTGTCATTACATGTCACAACCTGTCATTACTGTTTATCTTGAGTAAATGATAGGAACTCCAAGGGCACTTCCTTTCACCCCCCTGCTCCACTATCTCAAATTATGCTTCCAGCAAAAAAACAAAACAAAACAAACCTCTCAAGGTAAAGATTAAGCACATATTCCAAGGTTGAATTATCTCAGTTTACTCACAATAACATTAGAAGAGACACAGTCAAAAAGCAGAATTTGAGCTGCTCAAGTAGCAAATTCAAAGACTCAACCAGCAAAGGGTCTAGGAGAACAATGGCAAAGCTGGGACACTCCGAAGAAGGCTGTTGATGAGTTACTCCGAGCATCTGTCTCTGCTCAGGGAGGGGCTTTTATTCAGGAAGCTCCCTCAACCCCACCCAAGCCCAGCTGTTACTCATTATTTTAAGGCTGCAGAGCTACTCCTAATTCCCAAATAGACAATTGTTCCTCTGGTGGCCTTTGAAGTTGGGGGTTCCTCCTCAGATAGCAACAGCAACCAAAATATCATGTTTACAAATCAGGCTAAGCCATGATGTGGATGATTTTTTTTTGACCATGCACAAACCCAGCTACTGTGCTTTAACTATGGTTTATAAGATATCTTAACCTGGCCTCCAGAGATTAAACATAAAAAAAAAACAAAGAAAAGCTTAGCAGATATGCAATTTCAGCCAGAGTCTCTCTCTCTTTCCCTCCCTCCCTCTCTTCTTAAAACTTGTTGCTAAAACAAAAAGAGGTTTTATTTGGGGAAGTGGGATTGATTTTTTTTTTTTAATATTCAAAGAATTAGTTGGGATTCATGCAAGAAGGGGGATGTACAATGGCATGTCTGCAGTTTAAATCCCTTTGCACCTGATTCCAGGCATGAATCTTAAAGTGACACTAAAAAAATGGGAAGGGGCTTTCCCACAAGATGAAACTTTTATCTTGCAACCTCCTATGTTATTTCTATAGTGGATGAGTTAAATTTTATTTATTAGACATATAGGAGAGACTCAAGAAGTCTGGCAGTTTACCATTCTAAAGACAGGACTTCATAGATAGATTATCACTGGCCCTGAGATTAGATGTGGAAACCCACTGGTAACGTACACTTTGTAAAGCTAGGCTCTTCTGTGATGGTCTTTATAACTGGGCTCATAAATATAAATACATAGATATGAAATAAGTTTGCATTGAACAGGGATTATTCTCCAGTATGTTTGCAGGGAACGCAATGCCTTAGAGTAGTTTGACCCAGGACATGGAGACTCAAATTATGTTCTCCTGTCCATGTCAGTTAAAGGCCGAGGGGCTGGGTTGGTACAATATGCTAAGTCCAGGCTGATGGTTCAATCTATTCAATATCCCCACCCTCACATGTTGCTTCAGCAACCAAGTTCAGGGAACTGTATAACAGACAAATGGCTGTCCAGTCTCTTCTTAAAAACGTCCAGTGTTGGAGCATTCACCGCTTCTGGAGGCAGGTTGTTCCACTGGTGAATTGTTCTGACTGTAGGAAATTTCTCTGGTGAAGGGGTAACTGCTGTTCTGTGGAAAGCGACATGAACATGACAGAACAAGAGAAAACGGAAAAGTGATGTTTCATTTGAGTCCATATCAATTCACAGATCTTTTCATAGTGTGTCCACATTGTTTTCCTTACAACAATGCAAAAAAGAGTTGTGTTGTAAACTCATTATGTTTTAATTTGCCGACCAGCCCACCATCTTGAGATGTCCTTTATGCCATGTTATTTCATCCAAATGCTAATCAGGTCTGATCCTCTTAGCTTTTCAAGATCAGCCAAAATCAACCAGGATACTCAGATGCAATCTGATTTGTTCTTCATCAGTTTCCTATTTTAGCACTGTACATTCCACTAGCTCAAGAAAACGGCCAGATTTTTAGTTTATTTTGAAACATATAATGCTCAGCATGGCCTGCTGAACCACCGTTTGTTGAACAATTCTTCCTTGCTTGGTATTAGTATGTTGTAAAGAATGAATTGGAAGCCACCGAGATCATATTCACAGAACTAAAGCCAACGACATTATGGCTTAGTGCATGCGAGTTAATCTTAACACTTCAAGTTGTTATCCCGTTAAAGTTATTTTCTCAAGGAATAATATATCCAACTGTCGAGAATTGGAAACTGTTCTCCCTGCTTTAAGCAGTTGGATTGTTTCCACTGTTGCTAGTGAACGGCGTATTTTGTAATGCTACAGGATTTATTTCCGAACGCAACACTTGTGCCTAGCGACTGTTCTGCCCAGTATTTCAAATATGACTAAGAAATTATATCAGACAGTTCTCTATCTTTAACATGAAGTACTTTAAAAAAAATTGCATCTGATGGGTTGGGTGAGGGGGAAGAAAGAAATATGACTATAAGGGCTTCCAATTATTTTCACAGTTTCTGCTGTGTTGTTATTTCGGACCAAAGGATTACAAATAAATTTGGTACAAAACTGTAACCCCGAAAGGAAATTGGCAATGAAATCACAGAGCATTTACGTGAAGCAATTCAACCCCCTTTTTTATGACCTTGTAGTCCCTTAATTTGGGATAGAGTCAAGGTGACTGAATGGAGCTGAGCATTTACTGGCCGACCCTTCCAGAGTTCACAGTAGATATCAACTTTCCGAGTGGGAGGCAAGCATCTTCACCACTAAGCCAATTTAAAATTAAGGGATTACGGGGTTGTAAAAAGGGAGCTTTAAAGGGAGTTTGAAGCAATTCAGACCAAAAGAAAAGCCCAATGACCAAGAACTTTACACCAGTGAAAAATATTCTAAATGTATCTAATTGTAAACTGGCTGCTTCGTTTCTCCCTATCTGCACACATGGACTGCATTCCCTTGCAAGCTCTTGACTCATTTCTTTTAAGTAGGTCTTCCTGTTCTTAAATCAAGGGCAGCAGCAAACAGTTATCTAGCTTCAGCAAAATGCCCAAATACAAACGTTTTAAGGGAGAGAAGACAGCAGTTCTAGACTTAAAACAACAGATGGACTTGCTCTCTTGCTGAACACGCCACATCAGAGTGCACGGAAAATGGACTTCAAAAGCTTTTCCATACCACAGCCTGGGTGAAAAAAATAAAATAAAATAAATCTGATCAGAGCACTCTAAAGTACAGCTTATCCCCAAACAACATTTGCCAGAATTTTAACAGTAGCTGAATAAAACAACACCTCCACCTTATGAGGCCAATAGAGGGGGGGGGGGAATAAAGATTTAAGTCCATAGACTTTATCCTAAGAATTTCTTTAATTAAGAAGGATCAAAGTCAGGCATTTTGTGTCACAAAAACACAAAACGTGACTCACACGTCATCAGGGCAAACACAGAGACATCAGAAAGGAGAGGAAGACAGAGAAAAGGCTTCAAACCCTGACTTCAGCAGGAAGTCAGTGGGAAAAGGAAGGGTGGGGCTCAACAGGGTGCAAAAACACTTCTAGGAAAGGATTTCTTTGAGTTCTGGGCAAAATGCTGAATTTTTGGAGACTGCTTCATTTCATTGTCATTGTTGTTTTTGTTGTTTTTGTTTTTGTTATTATTATTATCATTATTATTATTATTATTAATCATCATCATCATCATCGCATAGTCAGCCAGATGTTCAGACTGGATTTGGCATTTTTGCAAGGACCTGGGATAGGCAGATGTGGATGTTTGAATTGATGGTATTACAGATCTCGTCGCAGGATGGAAGCTGTTCCTAGTAAGGCCACCTTTTGCAATTGACTGATGGCGAATTTGTCAATGCCAATGGTGTCCAAGTGGTGCTCCAGTTGTTTTGGGATTGCACCCAAGACGCCTATTACTATTGGTACCACCCTTGCTTGCCTTTGCCACAGTCGTTCTATTTCTATTTGTAGGTCTTTGTATTTTGTTATCTTCTCCAGTTCTTTCTCTTCTATTCTGCTGTCTCCAGGCACATCCACTACCCAGATCATCATCATCATCATCATCATCATCATTTTAAAGAGCCAAGGAACAAGCTACATATTATGATAGCCGGGGCAGAAATGAAACCTTTGTAAAAAAATTTTTGCGTGGGGATAGAAGGAAGAGGCAAGCTTGCAGGGATGATGCTATGAATGAAAAAAAAGGATCATTTTTGGAACACTCATTTTAAAATACATACTTCACTTTTCACTTTGGGATGAAACTATCCAGATTAGTCAGTCTATTTAAAGTCAAACCCAATCAGCATCCATTCATCTTTGGAAATGCTTAGAAATGGCTTCTCCCCACCCCTCTTATTATTTTTTTTCCCCTCCTCCTCGGGCTTTTTGAGAACTTTTAAAATATTTGTCTTTGTGTCGTTTTTGAAATGATGCAGTTTGTTGGAGTTATGTTGAGGAGCTTTGCTGGGACACCTTTTTCTGTGGCATAGAATCCTAGATGCTCGCTAGGTTGGGAGATGCAGTCAAAACCCTTTATCCAGGGGTTCCTCCTGATTCTTCTGAATCAAAGTGCGGGGTGCCAAGATGATTGTAAAAATGAGACTGGACAACCATTTGACCAGGATGGTATAAGGTCTCCTGCCTTGAGCAGGAGGTTGGACTAGAAGACCTCTGAGGTCCCTTCCAGCCCAATGATGTTCTATGTTTCTATGTTCAAAACAGGTGGCACAGTCATTCACTCAAGCCCTCCCTTCTCTGATCACCTCCAAACCAAGGGAAATGCAGGAATCCTGCTCCTACAGTAGTGGCCAAAATTGGGGAAATCTTTTGGGAAAAGTGTACAGTAGAAATGCCACCTTTGGTTAAGTTTCCACCCATTTTTCTTCTAATTTCTTTATAACTGTAGCCTTGTTCACTTAAGAATACTATTTTACATCACTTTCTGGGCAACCAGTCAACTCTTTGCACCATTAATTTAATTTTATTACGTTTTACAAGATCACTAAATGAAAGAACACAAAAAACCCCAACCAACTTGATAGCCATCACATAACACACTGACAAATGGCCTCCTCTCAGCTTCAATACATGACATCAATCATTGAGTCCTACTGTGATCTGATTGGCTCATTGCCAAAACAAGATGACACCTCTAAACACTCATGCTCATTGGCTACAATCAGATGAAGGAAAGCTACCTGATATCAACCTAAGCAAGTTGTGCTTCCTTTTTCTGGTTATTTGGCTATAACTTTTCATAGAATACAGTAGAAGATAATTGAACAAACGTTGTTGTGTTACATTCTTGATTAAATTATCTTTCCATTGATATATAATTTTATGGCACTACTCCCCAAAAAAGTGGTGTTATTAGCCATCAAACCTCAAAAATACACTTTTCCCAACAGGTTTCCACAATTTTGGCCACTACTGAAAGACATAAGACAAAATTCTGTTTTGATGGAGATTTTGGAAGCAAAGTCCCTTTCATCGAATGAGAACTGGCAGAAAAATGAAGATTTCTGCTCTGCACTGCTAAAAATAGAATAGTGGGATATCAGTAAAATGAGACAATTGAGTCTCTTGTGGCAGTCAGCTTCACTTAACGCTATTTTAGGAAAGCATTCCATGCTGTTTTCCACCAGCATCCTATTTCCATTTAAAACCAATCGTTCCTGACCCATGTTTCTGAAATACAGTCATATTGAGCATTCCCTCCACCAACTTCCTGTGTACAACAATCTTGTGAAGTAGACAGAGACAAAAGATAGGAAGAAGTGTCATCCAGTGAGCTTCCATCACCAAGGGCAGACTTAAATACAGAGTACCCTGTGTTGTGTTCCTTTCTCAAATATTACGCTGGAAGACCCTTGAGGAAAGAAATATCTTTTTTAAAAAAAATGTTGGTACAAAGAAGAGATTGTCAAACTTTTTCAGGCTCCACAACCTGTTAAGAAGAAGAAATTTCTGACCAAGAGTTAAAATTTTAGTGATTAAAAAATGGGCTGCCTTCAAGTGAACTTTTTTCCCCTTGTTATGGGACATCACCAAGCTCCTATTGAGCCCTAGGAAGTCCATGAAGCAGATTGAAAAACTCAGTAGAAAGTACCAAGAATATTACAGGTAGTCCTTGACGTACAACCATTTGTTTAGTGGCCTTTCAAAGTTATAACAGCACTGAATAAAGTGACTTACTTGCCCTTAAGAGCATCATAGCATCCCCCACGGCCACATGATCAAAACCCAGGTGTTTGGCAATCAGCATGCGTTTACGATGGCTGCAGTGTCCTGGGACTTTCCAAGCCAGTTTTTGACAAGCAAACTCAATGCAGGATTTGCTTAATGACCATGTGGTTCACTTAACAGCTGCAAGGTTTGAACCTATAACAATATCCTAATCAAGGAAGTACCAACTCAGACAAACAATCAAGCAATAAGCAACAGCCTAATCAAGAAAGTACCAAGGCGAAAACACCCTTACCAGCACTGACAGGGCAGGCTAGTGCATATCAACAGGATGCAAAGCCCACTCCCTTCTAGCACTGATGGTGTTATCTAGTTGGGTAATGAAACATTACCCAACAGAGAGCACCACGGGCTCCATAGTTCAGCCTTGAGCTACATTTATTCTTTCCTGTTCAGATTGGGCTTTTGTGTACTCTCCACTGCCATCTCACAACCTTACAAGCACAAGCATACCAAACTCCACCCACAAGAATTAATTTCCTTGTAAATAAAAGTTCAAAAACAAATTGTCTTTCATCAAACTGAATGAGGGGAAAAACACAGAAACATTTATCCGACTAGCACTTTAAAGAAAATGAGAGGAGAGTTATCTAGAATGCTGCATTTCTTTCCAAATAGAAATTGAAACTGCACATTTTCTAAGTCTGTAAATTTCCCCAATTTTCCTAAGGGGGGGGGGAATAGTAACTTTCACTTCCATTTGAAGTAACCAAGGCAAGAATAAACAAATATTCTGTCTCTCCAAATCATGAGGTTGCAGAATAAAAATATAACCCAGCTGCAAAATGCAATCATAGATATTTTCATGGATGGTGGAAAACCCTGAACAATCCCATACTAATCTGTGCAGAACATGATCAAATGGAATACCAACAGGGAACTAGCTGAAACAAGCAGAAATGCTTACTGAATTACAGTATACTAGTGAAAAGTGCAATTTTTACGCATCCATGCAACGTTTCCACACACACATTTATGGACAATTCTGCCACCTGATATATACCATCATCGCATACAATTGGATTTAACTCCCCCCCATAAAAAAAGCATGCTACAATTGCAAAGAAATTTACTAAAGAGAAGGCTGTGTTCACACAACATGCTAAACCGCCTCTTATTTTACCATAGTTGATTGACTAAACCACAGGAGGTTGGATTCGTGCAACGCACTAATCCAAACTAAACAAAGAACATTACAGTTTAGCACAAACGAGCATGGACTATATCCATGTCTTGATTTATCCCCTTTTCATTTCAAATTAATCCCAAGACCTCAGACTATTTAAGTTCCATCTGCAATGGGAATTTCTTCTGAGTGAGTATCTAGGAATGTGCTATTTTGCGTATCCAAATCCCTCGGTTTTAATAAGCATTAGCTCACTTAACTTTGCAAACAATCAGGCTTTCCAGATCAAATAACCTATGCTATTTTTTCCCCAGATACAGGGGGACTCCCCATTGGCCCACATACATTTAAAACAGGAACACCTAATATTTTTAAAAAGCCTCTGCAGATCAATATTTTATGATGAACCAATATATTCCAACGCAAGTTGCTTTTCTCCAACTCCAAACACTTAAAGAAACGTAAGTATAGAGACAACTACAACTACTGTTGAGATTTTTTTTTTTTTTAATCACAGCTGAAGTTAGGAGTGTTTGGAAGAGTTAGAAAAGAAGCCAAAGCAAAAACACTGGGCCTAATCCAGAGTATATAATAGGTATAATGATAAAGAAACTGTTATAGATTGAGACCACTGTTGCCCAAATGGTCGATATTTTTTTTATTCGCAATTCCCACTCTGTTGTAGTGGAACAACCAATCACTAAGTTATCAGGGAGAACCAATGATTTGTCACTGCCATCTTCCCCAGTAATCCATTCTGGTTGGGTGATGACAGCACAATAAACCTGAGTTAATAAAACA